ATGATGATGATAATTTGATATTATTTCCACACAGGAATAATAATGACTGCATGTCGAGTTCTGTATGTTGAGTTTCATTTGATTTAATATGTATGGAATCTATTACTGTGGTGTGAAAGATAATTCTGTACTCCTCTCTTCTCTGAGCTGATCATTAAACACAGAATATAAAGATGAAATTTTCTGCTTTTTTCGTTTATTTCTGTTTTAAATGTAAACTGTTCTTTGAGTAAATCAGATAAGGACTCTTTGGAGCTGTGGATTTTTATTACAAAATAATGTCTGCATCACCTTTTAAAGGAGCAACAAGTGATGTTTATGACCACAAAAACAAAATGCTCTGTATAAAAGAACTGATTTGTTGTTCTCTTCAAGTTTTTTTCATAACATAAACACATTTGAGAGGAAGACTCAAACTGCTTCATAAGCTTGTATGAACCATTTTATCATAAGGGGGCGGGTCCACACATGGGTGATGTCGTGTTTAGATCATGTGACAACAGGGGCACAAATTTACTGTAGAATAAAAAGATTTGTATGCTCATTGGTTAAAGCTGTGCTATAGTCACTTTCCCAAAGTTAACACAAAGCAGTACCTGACTGTGTGTTGTGTGTTGTTGAATACATACAATTTTGATCTCCCTTACATCTTTGATGGGTCAAATACTTTATTTATTATCAGATATTGTGGACATGATCAAAACGATAAACTGTTTAATTGTTTAAAACAGTATAGTAGTATTTTAGTAATAGCATACATGCTAATAGCATTTCCCCTACACACTGAGCAATTGCTTCGATCAGTCAAGAAACAGAAATGATTACAGTTTCCATTCTGCAGCACAGAGTGTTGATGTAATTGTGGTTGATCCTCATCAGGAAGAGTAAATAATTCACTAAGCTGTGTTGCTGTCAGTCTGACACTCACAGTACTGTCAGCTTTCCCAAGTGAGAGCAAAGATAGAGGATGATTTACATTTAAAGACAGAAATAGCTCAAACTCAAACAAACATCACACAATGCTGCTCTGTGCATTTGACAGCTGTTGTGTGTTACTTGGACAGATAACTGTTACTGTTTAAACTGGTTATAACAAAAGTTGTGTGGGTTATTGACTACACAGCATCAAAACACAAACATTTCTTATTCAAGAGACAAGTACAATATTTTCAAGAGAGGATGAGTGTCTAAGAACAAGTCACCAACCAGTCTCTCTGCAGAGGTGGTGGTTCTCTGGTTCAGCACTGTGAACATAATGAGAACATAACACTGAATGGTCCAGTAGATCAACCATAACCCACCTCATCAGGACACTGAACTGTAGGAGCTCAGGACTGCTGCTGTAGCTGATGTCTCTGCTGCTGCTGGGGAAGCTGGATCTGCTGCTGTCATCACTGCTACACTCCACTCTGCTGTCTGTGCTTCCATCATCACTGGCTCCACTGTCCCCACTGTCATCAAAGACCCCACAGCAGTCTGTTCACTCTGGCTCTCACAGTGTCTGTTTTGCACATACAAACCACAAAATGGTTCCCAAACTGCAAATGCTGATAAAAGTTCCACACACCACTTTTAGAACCTTTACTGGCTGAGCTGCTCAGGAGACAATAATATATGTATGAAACTTGGACATAATTTTTTCATTAAAATGTCATTTGTGTGAAAATGTGAATGTGTGCAGCTTGTCATCTCTCACCCACCATAAACGTTTGCCAGCAACAGAGTGGACAGGGCAGACACAGGAGACATGACAGACAAAGAGACAGGAGACCGAGTGGCCGACTACCCTAAATTAATTAGTTCAATGCTTCAGCCTGTGATTATCTCTACTATGACTCTGCTGCCCTCTGTGCATCAACATAAGAACAGGCAGCTGGCTTCTGTTGGCTAACACAATCCTCCTTCTGCTTCTTCCCATAAAATATATATTAGAAAATAGTGAGGGGGGGACAAGATGGCGGCGAGTTGAGCGGACGTGTGGTTCTCGCGCTCCCAACATACGGCAGAAAATGACTTACGACCAATTTATCAAGTAGCCGTTGTGTGGAGGTGGGGGGCGGTGCGGCGTTCGGCTTGTTTAATGACTGCTCCTTATTATAGGATCGGTAATGCCAGTTGTTCACTTGTTAACTATTGAAGGGAGGGGGGTTGTTTGCTGTTCTACACAGAGTAGAAATGTTCTAGTGTCATCTCAGCTAACCCTACTTAAAGTGAACAAATTGACTTACAAGTTTGATTTTTATTCACTTATTTTAACAATAATTTTAACTTACTCATTTTGTTCTTTTATAAAGGTTATCACAGATGCAAAGGCTTTAAATAACTAGTTATCTGACATAAAGCTACAAATTCTATCATGGAATGTCAGGGGCTTAGGCAGACTCACTATGGCCAGCCTGTTTAAACATTAAATGGCTTTCATCTGATTATCCATAAATAAATGTTGGATATCTACAAATGAGTTTTGACCAGAAACAATTACATTTTGACTCTTCGAATGACGACTTAAGATATCTGCATTTACAATCTTACTAGTAAGAACAGCAATTTAAGATATCTACAATTACTCTTTGACAGGTCAAAATGCCATTGAAGATATCTCAAATGACGTCACATGTTTCGTAATTTGAAGAGTCACAAATCCTTAATTATAATTAAAGATATCTCTAATTCGATTATGACTAGTCAAAATGACATTTTTAGATATCCGAATTATCATTAGGGCCCTATGTGATGTCACTGGGTCGTCTTGACTGTTGCCTGCAGAATTTTAGGTAGCTAAAATGGTGCTGGCTGTCCTTGAAAAAATAGTCAGAAAATGCCATGATCTTGAAAGAGCTCAACAGTATGGTATATGCGGAGAACGTGAACTTCGTTCACTTGAGGACTGCTCAAGAAATTTATGGAGAATTTTGAATTTACTGTCTCCCAGGACACACTCAAATAATGTCATAAAAATAACACAATACATTTCTTGACCTAGTTGTTGGATGTTTATAGACCAATTGAGCTGAACATATTACAAAGCTACTTGCAGCTTTTGAATGTGCTTCTATTTCAGGTGGTTGAGGTAGACCAGCTGTTCATATTACAAAAGAACAGATCGAGTTTCTTTTGACCCAAGGCCACACTGTAAAAAAGATGGCAAAAATATTAGGATGCTCAGCATCGTATCTTTACAAAAGATCCAAAGTGCTTGGTGTACCAGTAAGGAGAAGGTTGGCTGAAGTGACCGATGAAGACCTTGAAATTCATATCAGGCAACTTCAAGCCCTGTATCCAAATTCAGGGAATCAGGTAGGTCTGGACCCTGATTTGAGTGGCATTGAAAAAGTTTTCCTTCAGGCCAGATAACGTTACGGTAGGCTGCATTCGGCATTAGCGGTGCAGACTGATGTCTGTTTGGGAATGATATTTATTTTTCACAAACAACGGAGGTTTTTTAATTGTTAAAATGTTTAGCTGTTCTTTGTAATGTTTGCATGCTCATTTTATGACCAAATGTCTACTTTGATAAACGATAGCCATTAGACTAGCTGAATATTATTATGTAATATATATACACACACAGTAGTTCTGCAGTGGTTTAAAAAACTGACGTTACTAATACATACAACCAGATGATGTGGGCCATGCTGCACACAAAGGGCTACTGGTTCCACGGCGTAGGGTGCGTGAGATGATGGTTCGAATAAACCTCACAGCAGCTGCGAGAAGGTGGAGCAGTGTCTAGACGGGTCTATCATGTCCCATACCCCAACAGTTTATGGCATATTGATGATAACATGCGTCTCATACGGTAAGTCACAATTTCTTTCATCTTTAGTGTGCTAGTAATCTACCATAACCCTTATAACTCTGCCTTGTCTGGGGAAAAATGTATAGCTATACAACTGAGACCATAAACTTTCATATTTGGCCCATGCTTGTGTGTAACTTGCACATTTTCAACCTAAACAAAAAAAAACAACAACTTTGTGATAGTATATACAGTATGACTAATATAGTCTATATCATGATAACTATGTGGTACCTTTTAGGTTTGCTTAAAAAAAAAAAAGAAACAAAAAAAAACTGCATACAGCATACTCTTTCATTGACTATATGAGTGGGGTAGTAAAAGTTTGATACAGTTAATAAGTTTAAAATAAAACATCCTGTATGTATTTGAACTGTATTAGAAAGTACTTTTTGGTGAACTTTGGGTGTCCGTGTGTACATATTTATTACAGTTGGACTTCTTGTATTCCCTTTTTTAGATGGGGCTTTGTGATCCATGGTGGCATCGATGGGCGTTTCAGCTTGATTACTTACCTGAACTGTAATACAGACAACCGTGCTTCCACAGTGCTGCTTCATTTTCTCAAAGCGACGGGCCTCTATGGGCTACCATCTAGAGTGAGATCTGACCATGGTGGTGAGAACTTGCAGGTGGCCTTATTCATGAACCTTGTACAGGGAATTTAACGTCAGAGTCACATCACAGGGGAGTCAGTCCACAATCAGAGAATAGAGCTTCTTTGGAGGGATGTGTTTTTACATGTGCTGGAACCATTCTGCTGCATGTTCTACACTCTTGAAGATTCAGCCCTATTGGATCCCAGTGACCATATACACAAACTTTCACTTCACGTAGTTTTTCTTCCTGAGATTCAAAACAGACTACAACACTTCAGAGAGGCCTGGAACAATTATGCTTTGCGTACAGAAAACAATCAAACACCAACAGAAATCTAGACAGAAGGGATTTTGGTAAACATGGGTGTCAATACCACAGCAACCAACAACGTGTTTGTTCAAAATCCCTACAGAGTAGAGAATCTGGAAGCACTTCTGGAACAGCATGGCTTTCAGCCATTACCAGCTACTGATGATGAGCAGGTCCCTGGTGTGACTGTAGAACCACCTCAGATCAGTCTCAGTCAGCAGCAGCTTGAGTCCATTAATCTTGCAGTTAATCACATTTCAGATCTGAAGATGAAGTACCAGGCTTGTTGTGCTAAAATTGCAAATGCTTTATTGACTTAACATTTTTTAAGAATGTTTGACAACAAGACAATGGACATGCTGTTACATTTGTCAGAAAACACATAGCTGATGCAGGGGTGTTAAGTAACATCTACACTACCATTAAAACTTTCAGAATTTATGTCTGCAACAATATAAAACCAATTAGGTTACGGATAAGTGTATAAAAATGTTATATAAAAACAGTTTTCAAAGAAATGTTAGTGCATAGGGAGAAGAAGCACATAGGTAATTCAAATTTCAAATCCGGAGACCAAATCTCAAAGGCAAATACCCAGGCAACTAAATAATGACAGTATAACATTGTATGTACTTACTTCTTATTCACAGAATTCTAGAAATATTAAATGAAGTGAAATTGTATGGCAAGTGATATCAAACTTTTGAATAATACTGCATTTAAATAAAGGTCTTATTTTATGGAAAAAAAGAAACATTAGCAAAGATCACATTTTGTAGTTGGTTTCAGTCTGGCTTTTACACAGCAACAAATTTCAAACTTTCCAACAAAATTATTTCTTTTAAGGAACTGTGAATGAACTGTTGCACTTACTGGCTGCTTATGCAACACCAAAAGTAGGTGCCTGCAGAATACCCTCTTTCATGTACTTTTTGAAAGATTCATAGTCTGTGTGTACTGGAAGGCGGAGTACTACAAGGCAAGTATTTGCCTCCGGGAAGATTTTGTTGGCCTCATGGAGGAACTCAATTGGTGGGCGATGGTGAAATCCCAGTGGAGGCACCGTGGATGCTCCAGAGGCAAACTCCAGTATCATCTCAAGTGTAATGGGACTGCATTCTCCATCTGAAAAACACCAAATGTAGAAGTGTTGACTTGGGATAGAATACATGTAGTGTTCTGGAAAGAGAAATGTTCTGCTCTTAAATAAACACATGCCAAGTACTTGAAAAATATGTTGATAAGTTACTTCAGATGAGAGTTAAAGACAAAGTTTTTTGTTCTTTGTCCACTAACTTTGGTTAAGTTAATCTGAGGGTGGCTACCTGAACTTGGTAGATTTATGACAATACATTTGTTCAAGAGTTTTCCAAATTTCCATTTTTGATTGTCCAAGCAATATAGTCAATATCTGCTAAAAAGGTGCCCATGTAGATACTCTATTTTCAGCTGTAATATGGCATTCCATTCCCATCTAGAGCGGTAGGTAAAATTTTATTATTGTTACTGTCTTATTCAAAAATTGGGGCACCCTTCAAAATAACTATGCACGTCCATCACAGGGAACACACTTCTGCAAATATAAATGAATTAATATGCACTAATTATTTACTGAATTTACATAATGGAAACAATAAAAACAAAATATGATGTGCACAAGTTTGGGCATTCTGGGGATTTTATGTTTTTTTTCTCCAATATGTTAACATCAGCAAATAAAAAGAAACATTACAATAATATTTGTAGAAATGTACCATATTTTGGTGTGTTCACTGTAAAGGATGTGTTAAAGCATGTATTCATGCAACAGCTTTCAGCAATACATATATATATATATATATATATATATATATATATATATATATATATATACACACACACACACATATATATATATATATATATATATATATATATGTATATATATATATATATATATACATATATATATATATATAAAATCACAACTAACACAATAGAAAGTGTACCTTCAATATATACCTTCAACCTTCAACCAGTCTCTCCAAAAGCATATTGTTTGATTTTCTCTAGCTCTTCTGTTGCTGCCTTGCTTGGAAAAATGCACTTCAAAAAGGGTGCACAAGTCCCGTGCCTGAGGTGGTCTCTCCTCACTGACAAACATATTGTAAAATAGTCCAGAGTTTTTCTGCAGCTCCTCCAGCAAGCCGAGAGTCCTTAAACCTACTGCAAACCTGTAAAAAAAAGAATAAGGTCTTACTTTTAGACAGGTGTTATCCATTTTTTCATTGACCAATGAGCAAATAACTTACTGTTCCAAGGCAGCGTGCACTCTTCCGTTTACAAAGAAATCCGCAGCAGACTGCACAAGTGAATCCTTCTCCTCCAGATTAGATACATGTCTTAAAGCACCAACAATACTCAGGCTGTCTGCTGCCTCCATAATAGCTTCATTTGCCTCTCTGACTGTTTTTGCTTCCTGTATCTAAAGAAAAGTGTCAGTAATGCAAATTTTGCAATAATGGCATTAAACTGTGTGACCAATGTGTAACACTTTTGGATTGCCACTAACTTTGATCAGCTGCTCCCTGAAACTTCCTCTACCAGTGTGGGATGTGTTGGTATGCCACAAATCTGCTGATAAAGCCTCTCTGAGTAGAAGTGTGGGCCAATGCCTCCATGCACCAAACAAACGGATATCATTTTTCCCATCCAGGCGTATAGTTTAGACTCCAACACTTAGAAATAATTAAAAATAACAATGATAAGTTGCTGCCCTGTTGTAGTACAATTTCCCATCAGTCAAAATGCAAAAAATAGCTTTTTCTTTAATACTTACCTTTAGTGTCTAGGGCCAAATGCTGGTCCTTCTCATGCCCCTCAGAGATATTTGACTAATGAATGGCCCTCATCAGTAGCCTTAAGTACTCTCTTGTTGGACCTCCTTCATCAACTGCCCCTTCAGATTTCTGTTCCTCATCCACAAAAACAACGTCCAGTTTTGCTGCTGGGTTAAACTGTCGTCTTTTGAATGCTTGCAGGCTACATTCTAAAATCCTGTCCCTGCAAACATTTATTTGGTTGCTTGTGGGACAGATACTCATATCAACTTTGCTGGCCAGATATGGTCTGTAGGTTAGTCCTGTAGCAAAAGAAGTTGTGGAAATTAGAAGCATATTCATGAAAAAACATTGTCATAATTTTTTTTGTTTTTTAGCAGGTGATGACAATATTGGGTACATTTAAATGTGATGGTAATATTAGAGCCCAGTTAGGTCCAGTGATGCCAATGAACAATCAAGACAGAAATTATGTGGAATGTTGTGTAAAATCAACAATAATGCTTTCTTACTGTCAGATCTAATTATTCAGAAACAGCCCTTGTTACGGTGAACCCAAACATGTAATTTGGACTTACTCATCCAAAGGCAAATCCAGCTGACATAGAGGAGACTGGGGTGGAGAGAGACAAAGTTGTTCTTCTTGGTCTTCAAGGATGACTGTGGGTGGCTCAATAGATGGAAAAGTTGGTGACCGATCCTCAATGATAATCACTTGTGGTGCCTGGTCAGAGGGCAAGGCCAGCGGCCCTGAGGCTGGGATCAACGGTGGTTGAGAGGACGATGGAGTCGACAGTGCCTGGGCAGAAGGTAGGGCCGGCGGCGTCTGATTGGAGGGCAGGGTCAGCAGCGCCTGAACAGAAGGTAGGTCCGGCGGCGCATGGGCGGAGGGTAGGGTGGGCAGCACCTGGGCGGAGGGCAGGGCGGGCGGCGCCAGGGCGGAAGGTATGGCGGGCAGTGCCTGGGCGGAGGGCAGGGTCAGCAGCGCCTGAACAGAAGGTAGTTCCGGTAGCGTCTGGGCGGCGCCTGGGCGGAGGGCAGTGGATGGTCAAAAACTCCATTATTCGGCTTATCAGTGATCATTTCCTAAAAAGACAAATAGCAAATAACATTCTCTGTTTAAAGCAAGACATGACATGTTTTGTTTTGAGACTGGAAGCAGTTTTAAATAAGTTATATCACTTTACCTGGATATTCAGAGTTGCAGAGGTGTTTATACCATGATCCATAAGTGATCCTGATGAATTACTCTCAGTTGGTGTTGACGATGTTGCTTCTTGCACACTGAAAATTTCGCTGGCCATTTCATCTTGTCCAACAAAGTCAAACAGGACCTAAGCCAATAAGTGAGAATGCCATTTCAGTCACATGAAATCAAATTCACAATACATTCTCTGACTGAAACTTCTACCTGAATTGGCTCAGACACAGTGAATTTTCTCATGCAGATGTTGAACTTCAACAGCAGCCCCCTTGATGGTTCCTCACATGCTGCCATTCTCTGACATCTGTCTTCAATTGCCTAAAACATGAGCCCTCAAACAATTAGGTTAACAATCTAAGATTGTTACCTTAAGATTGAATTAGGTCTAACCTTTTTATGTCTTTCCTCCCAGGCCTTGTAACACTGTTTTCTCTTTTCATGTGACAATAAGAATTGTATTTTTGCTTTGAACAAAAAAATAAGAACAGTTAAAACTTACCAAAAAAAAATAAATAAATAAATTCTACCTTCTCTTGGTCTGCTAACAAAGATTCTTTATACTCTTGGTCTTGCTGGGAACGTAGGGATCGCCACGCCTGAAGGGTCTATTGTAAATCCAGTACATGCATTTATTACATGCAGTATCACTGCCAAATAACACAACAGAGAAAAATAAAATGCATATATTTCAAAATGGCCACCAAATGTTAGTTTTGGGTGTTCTCAACCACTGGGGAGGTCTCGCTTAGTGTTGGAGCAGAGGAGGGTTCTGGGAATGAACTGCTGGACATTGCTAAGGTTGGTGATGTTTCCTGTGTTGGGCAGAGAAATGTTTTAACTGTAATGGCACAAATTACTCAGCATATAAAACACACAGTAATTCCCTGTGTACAAAACATTCACACCTGCAATACATCTGCCCGTGGTAAAATGTACAATCTGCTTTTGCCAACCCTCTCCTTCAGCTCCCTTACAGAATTCACTTGTAATTTTTTTTTACCTTTTGTCCTTTGCCAGCCCTTGCCAGTTCAAAGCCAACCAAATTTAAACTGATGTGTGGGTAGCTTTGGCAATTCAGATAAACTCCAATTCAAGTTAATTTTAGACCTTCCGTTTCCTGTCCTCTCATACACTGGCTTGCCTAAAAATGGACACAGTGATAAAATAATAGTCAAGCAAAATAACAGAAAGTACCTTTAACTGAATTCAAACCACAAACTGTAATCCAAAAAGAGAATGTAGGTGAAACAGTAAAATAATAAAGTTTTTAGGCAATAAATAAAAGTGTTGCCAAATTACACTTCACGAGTCCTTGTTGCCTAAATTTAATTATTTCATTAATTCAGTGATTGATACATGACTAAAGTTAACTTACTTGACCTTCAAAGAGTTTTACCTATGTTTCAGGGTAAGTGTTAATTAAAAATGGCATGTGTACATGCCAAGCAAAGGGCTAAAGTCTTAGAAAATACCAAAGCGGCTTCTGACATCGACTTCAGAATTCAAATGTGTCTGTATTAGTGTAAACTTTGTTGCTTGATAGCTAACAAGCTCATGGAACATTTAAAGTTATACCTACCTAATCCGTGGTTGCTGAGTCTCACTTGAGGTGTATTTAGAAGAATAGTTTTATAAAAGAAGGTAAAAACACTCTTAACTTCTATAAGTATAAGGTGAGGTCTGAAGTCCTCTGTATTATCTGTCCTGCAGGGTTTTGGAATGTTTACTTTAAAGGGGCCCCCTGGTCCAAAGGTCTATCTCTTAGTTCCACATAGATGAGATCAATTTAAAAAGGGCCATATGTTCAGTTTGCTTTTTCAACAACAAGTACCCTATATAAGCAGCTGGTTTATTCTGTTCTGGAGGGGACACGATTGGCATGGATCCTCTCTCAGGTACTTTATAGTGCTTGATATGATACCATTTTACTTTGTAATAAACATCTTATGCAAGTAATGCGGTGTCAGCGGAGACTTCTTCAGCATCTTCACATCATCGCTACTTAACAAACAACACACTACTTCAGATGCAGAGGGTAAAACCTCAATATCTGGGCCAGGGAGTAAGAAAATGTTTGCCTGCCATACAGGGTTTGCCCGCCTTCCAACTGGACCTGGACCGAACATAAATGGATTACACCTCATGGTTGCAATGCACCTGCTGCTAGCAAATATAACTTTAATACGTTACCTATATAGTTTAATGTTCGCTATGAAAGTTATTCTAGGGTTGAGACTTCGAAGCCGTCGCATTTTTGGTAGAATAACGACGAGCTAAGGACACAGAAGCTAACAGAGTCTTAACTGGAAAGCCACATTAACCTAACATGGACCGTGATAGCTAGCTAGCTAATCAGTCAGCACCAACTTGCCTTGACTTCGCTGTACTTGACGGCGAAAAGTCTTCTTGTTGCAGACAATAAATCGTCTCTGTTGCTTAACTCCTGTCGAGCACAAGCTGCAGCACTAAAAATCCTGTTAAAGACACGAGAATGTGAATTAGCCTGGGCTGACATGGCATACAGACCACTGATTTGCAACCGCAATCAATGCCAAGCGCTTATTTTGATAAACTTGCCGTGAAAATATGCTACGTATATCTGCTACGTTATGACAAGTCAGAATGATCATTCAAGATAACAGAAATACAAAAGCTGTCTAGCTAAAATATGTTCAAGATATCTGTCATTTATCTGGAGATATTGTAAAAAGACTTTTGACTAGTCAAAATTACAATTCTGGATATCCCTAACTTATTTTTGCTCAGTCATTATTTGCATTCAGTCATTATTTGCATTATCTACAATTCAATCTGCACTAGTGAAATCTCAGTTTTACATATTTAAAAATATAGTTAAGATATCTTTAATAATGAGGAAATTTAAGATCTCTTTAATTGGAATTATGATTAATCAGAACAAAAGGCGACATATCTAATTTACTTTAAGACTAGTCATAATTTAATTGTAGATATCTGAAATTGATGTTTCAGATAGTGAGTAATTAATAGCAGATATCTTGAATTGGAGCTTCCATACCAGCTTAAAGGTAAATTTGATGTCATTCACACTAGTCAAAATGTAATTAGAGACATCTCAAATTGGTATGTTACCTAGTCAAAATATAATTAGAGATAATTTAGTAATATGTCTAGTCATAAATGAATGGCAGATATCTGTAATGTAAGTCTGGCCACACAAATTAATGTTAAACTGGCTTGCCATAGACTCACTAAATTAAAACAAGTAATGACACGTATTAAAAATAGTAACGCCTCAATAGTATTTCTACAAGAATCTCATTTGATAGCAGGGGATATACTAAAAGTAAGAAGGAGGTGGCCTGGTGAGGTATTTGCCGCATCATACTCTTCATGCGCTCGGGGAGTGCTTATATTAATTCATAACTCCATTCCTTTCCAAGTGACTAAAGTTACCCCAGATAATTTTGGAAGATTTCTTATTGTACAAGGCTCCCTGATAGGAACAGATATAAATTTGATCAATGTCTACGGACCAAATGATGATTCACCCAAATTTTATGACACCTTATTTCTAGCTACAGCTTCTTTACCAGGTAAATTACTTATAGGTGGAGACTTTGATTGTACATTAGACCCTAGGTTGGACAAATCCACGGGTATAGATAATATTCATTCTCAGTGTAGGAAGGTGATACATTGCTATGTGAAAGATCTAAATCTGTGTGAGCCCTGGAGAAGTAAATACCAGGATAAGAAAGTTTATTCCTGTTATTCTCCTGCAACAAAATCACACTCGCGAATTGATTATTTCCTAATTTCAAATGATTTATTTCCTTTGGTGCATGACTGTAATTACCACTCTATTGTAATCTCAGACCATGGTGCAGTTTCCCTTAACTTTTCTAAACTAGCATCTAACCCATCAAGATGGAAACTACATCCCAAATGGCTCTTTGATCCTGACTTTATGAAGTATATAGAGACTCACATTGATTTATATTTTGAAACTAACCAATGCGAAACTTCGGCTTCCACTCGATGGGAAGCATTTAAATGTTATATAAGAGGCCAAATGATTAGCTATACTAGTTCACAAACCAAGAAACTCAAATTGAAAATGCAATCTGTAGAAAAAGATAATATAATAAAAATAAAGAATCTGAAGTTTATACAAACACAGTAGGATCACAATATCTACAAAAAGAACTTACCTCTCTTAGAACACAGTATAACGAGCTCTCTCTTGCACAGGCAGAAAACAGCCTTATACATTTAAAACAATTTTTTTACGAACAGGGGGAGAAAGCAGGAAAACGTCTGGCATGGTAGATCAAAAAGCTAGATTCAAATAGGGTGATTACTAGTATACACACTCCATCAGGAAATATATCTACAGACCTTAAAACTATAAATACCACATTTGCATCGTTCTATCAATCCCTCTATAAATCTGAAACACCTGAATACTCAATAGAACAGTCCACATTCTTAGATAATCTCCAAATTCCAGTACTGTCTGAAGAAGTTAAAGAAAAGCTGGGTTGCTAACTAAAGAAGAAATCTTAAATGCTATTACTAAATTAAAAGGAGGAAGAGCAGCTGGCCCGGATGGTATACCTATCGATATTTACAAACATTTTAAAGGAAAAATTGTTACCCCACTGTTAAACATGTATAATGAATCCTTTGAAATGGGATCCTTTCCACACAGCCTCAGGTCCGCCTTAATAACGGTAATTCCTAAACCAGATAAGACACCTACGATATGCAGCTCCTACAGGCCAATATCCCTTTTAAACTCAGATATTAAGATTATTTCTAAAGTTTTAGCACTCAGATTAGAGCAGTACCTACCTGCTATTATAAATGTTGATCACTGTGGCTTTATCCAAAATAGGCAGGCTTTTCATAACATCAGACGGATCCTGAACATTTTGTATGAACAAGAGGGAGCTAAAGACTCCTGTATTCAGTCTCTTGATGCTGAAAAGGCATTCAACAGAGTCGATTGGCCATATCTGTTTGAGGTTCTCTCTCGGTTTGGGTGTGGCACAAAGTTCTGTCACTGGGTCAAAACTTTGTATACAAGGCCGACAGCAGAAGTCATCACTAACAATTTTATCTCTCCACCTTTCGAAGTAACACGAGGTACTCGCCAGCGTTGTCCACTTTCACCCCTCCTCTTCATTTTAGCAATGGAACCTTTCGCCATAGCAATCAGAACCTGCTCAGATATAAAGGGTATATGTTTGTACAGTCAGGAACACCACATAGCCTTATATGCTGATGATACCCTCCTGTTCCTATCAAATGTCCAGAGTACTATTCCATCTCTTATACAGTTGATGAAGACATTTGGTAGATTCTCTGGATATAAAATTAACATGGCTAAATCCTCCATCTTATTTCTCCATGATAAAGATAGACTACAACCACCAATACAACATCCATTCACTAACACGCTGGAAGGATTCAGATATCTTGGAATAAATATTACTGTTAATCTTAAAAACCTCATAGCCGCTAACTATGAACCTATCATAACTAAAGTAAATGATGATATAAAAAGATGGTCACACCTTCCAATTTCTTTAATTGGTAAGATAAACATTATTAAAATGAATATTTTACCAAAATTTCTTTACCTGTTTCAATCAATCCCACTTGCCCCCCTTGCTCATTTTTTTTCCTCAATGAAGAAATTGTTTACCAACTTCATTTGGATTAATAGAAGGTCTAGACTTCGTCTAACTTTATCTGCCTTATGAAAGAGGGGGGATGCAAATGCCAAATCTGCTATGGTACTACCAGGCAGCACAACTGAGATCATCCTTTTTTTGGATTTCACCTCCATCTTACATCCCTTGGGTCCAGATAGAAGCAAGTGCAGTAGCTCTAACTTCATATCTATATTCTGATTCTCCTAAAAAACTAAAAAAAAAGACACTCAGCCCATTTACTAAGAATAGTATAGCTGTTTGGTATGAAGTGCATGCAGCTCTGGGTATTACACCAGAATTATCTCAATATTCTCCTATATTTGGTAATTCATCTTTTATTCCTGGTAAATTAGATGCTGGTTTCAAACTATGGATGAAAAACGGTATACATAAATTAGCCGATATTTATAATGATAACATACTCATGTCATTTGAAGAAATCAGGAGAAGATTTAGGATCATACAAACCATTTCTTTAAATATCTTCAGCTTCGGAGTTTCATACATTCCAAAATCCGCTCTTTTCAGTTACCACCTAAGACTACTATAGAACAGCTAGCAGATAATAACACAATCTCTAAAGGTCAAAGCTCAACTCTGTACAGACATCTTGCAAATAAATCAAATAAAGCAACAAATTCTAAGAAATTGGCATGGAGTCATGATTTACAAAGTGCTATTAGTGAAGAAGATTGGAATTATTGTTGCCTGTATACTAATAATCTTTCAATAAATACACGTCTCAAATTAATTCAGTATAACTGGTTGATGAGAACTTATATTACTCCAGAAAAAAATGTGCAAAATTAACCCAGATATCCCAGACACATGTATAAAATGTACAGGACAAAAGGGAACATTATTTCATTGTTTATGGGAATGTATAGCAATACAGAACTTTTGGAGGCAAGTAATAGGAATTATTTCCAGGATTATCTCCAAAGAAATACCCATCTGTCCAAAACTGTGTATTCTAGGTTTGTACCCAGAGACCCTTTTGT